ATAGTAAAATATTTTCAACAGAGAAGAAATGAAAACTGGGGATGAAAAGTGGAAATTAAGGAGACAAAAATTGAAGAAGAAAAAGAAGAGATACATTAAGGGGAGGAAGAAAACAAAGACTACAGAGAAGATAACCCAATACAAGCCAAAAGCCCTAATCAGAAAAACAACAAAACAAAACTTTGAAAAATAGTATGCTGAACTTTAAGAAGAAAATATACAAATATCAGCTGTAATATTGTTCATTTCTTTTCTATAGTTACTTATTTGGAACACAAAATAGTATGAATACTAAATTTGCATTTTACAGAAAATAGCAAGCTCCTAGTGACACAGAGAACAAATAATAGGAGCAGCAGCAACAACAAAAAGTTATCTTAAGATTTTATTATGGTGTCTGATAGAAGAAGGAGTACTAATGCTTCCATCTCTATGTAGACATTTTTATATTCATTGGTAAGATTCAGAAGTATTAAATTAAATAAAATTGTCCATTTATGATGCTTAGGACAGCTCCAAGTTTAGAATAGCCATTTGATAAATGTTAGTGTGTTTTTATTATTACTAATATAGCTATTGGCAATGGTTGCATTTTTCATGTGACATGAAAACATCCAATGTTTATATTTAATGTATAGTTGTGGAAGAATTTACTTGATACTTGTCCCTCCTGTTAGACCCCATGGTCTGTAATTCATCAAAGACTTTCTGTAATGTTTTTGTCATGTAGGTTCAATAAATGCAAAAATAATTTATTGTAAATGAGCAATATAGCTCCTTCTAAATTTATATGACAAAATGTATTTCAAAGTATTACCTATAGTTACTCAGCCTGTCTTGTAGAAGTTCAAGCATTTGTGAAAAAAATACATTTGCATTAGATGGTAATACTAATGAATTGATTGAATAAAATTTTTAGCACAGAAAACATGAAAATACAGTAAGAAAAATCCAGAACTTAGTGGACAAGATTGACAGTAAACATTTTAGAGTTGAGAATAGAACTGCTGAAGGGTATAAATCCAGAATGAAGTGATTCAAGAGAAAATGAGAGAAAGGAAAGGGAGAAACACACTAGATCCGGTGAGGGAGGTCAGCATCCAGCCAACTGTACTCCCAGAAGGGGAAGAGGGAGAGATGACACAATGTTTCATGAGACAGTACGAGAACTTCTGGAACAGAAAGTATAATAGGAGGGGAAAAACTCCGGGAATGCTTAAGTCTGAATAATCTTTGAACAGGCGAGATTGCCCACAGATGCAGCAGTGAAACAGAGGGCTGAGCGATGAGCAGCATCATTGCTCATCAGGAGACAATGGGGCAAAGGAAAGGCCAACCTAGAGTTTTGTGCTCACTGAATGTATCCTCCAAGAAGCAAAGCTAGAGGGAAATGCTTTCAGCAAAGCACAGACTGAGGGAATTCTGCAGACCAGGCTCGCCCTGGCATCATCTCTAATGAGAGGTAGCTTTCAGGCTGTGGGAAAATGGCTGCAGATGGGAGAGCAGAATAACAGACTGAACACATGTGAGTGCAGAGGTGTGGGCTCGTGGAAGTTAATATTTACTGCACGCAACTTTAGCGATCTGTGCCGAAGTCCAAGTAAACACAGAATGGTAATAATAACATGCAAACAGGCTCAAAACGGCCACAGCGGTCTTTGGGCTAAACACTGACATTGTAGGAGCCGACTAGTTTAGTGTCCAGGAAGAGGAAGTGGGTCCCGCAAGTGACCTGTGAAGAAGGGTAGCATTTCCCAAAACAGAGCCAGGTGCTGTTCTCACACAAACAAACACTTAAAAACAATAAACAAAACAAAGAGATTCACAAACTTGACCCCTATATAAAGATCAGTTTCAGGAAGACTGGCTGTATATGGGGGAGAAAAATCAGTAATGGTTAATTAAGGAAAATGACCAGGTTAAACAAAAGGTTAAATGAAAACTTAATAAACGACAACAAAAGTACTAAACAAAATGGGAAAACAAATGACAAGGCACAGTTACAGTAAAACTGGAAATGTCTTCTGTACAGATACTGTAGAGAGGGAGGGAAGAGGCTTGGACACATAGCTTTTGTGTTTGAATCAGATTCTCACTGTATTACCCAGGCTGGTTTTGAACACCTGGGTTCAAATGGTTTTCTCACCTCCGCCTTTGGAATACCTGGGATTACATGTACATGCCACTTTGTCTATGTATTTAAACAACTCCTATAAGGAATATGAAAAATGAACACCCCAGAGAAGTGAAGAGAACAGGAAATTCAAATAACAGATACTTGAAAAGCCACCCAAACCCCATCAGCGCAAAGTCATGATGAGCATTTGGAACACTAAGAATCCTCTCAACAGGGCTGTGGGGAGCCTTGTTGATACAGGCACATTGGAAAAGCCTTGCCATCATTTACTAAGCTTTTAGGTACACATATGTCATGTTATGACCCAGGTACTTCACCTTCAGAGTTACACCTGACAGAACTGTGTGGGCTTTTTGCTTGAGCCCAGAAAGTTATATATAAGAATACCCATGGCAGGGCTATTTACTATAGCCTTGAGCTGTAGAAAACTCAATGTCTATCAACTGTAGAATGAAAAACTAAGCTGACGTTCCAAGTGAAATGGAAATGAATGAATTTCACCCCAATGGAATGATGCCAACCACTGTGCTCTGTGAAGGAAGCCAGACAGATGGAAACATTCTGTGTGAGTCTGTATATATAAAGGCTTAACTTGAAGGAAAGCAAGGCAGTGTTTACCGATATGTGCTTAAGTGATAAAATCCACAAAGGAAAACATAGAGTCTGTTGCAGTAATAGCTTGGGTGGTGGTTATCCAGGAAGGAGCAATGCCTATGGTTATTGGGAGGGGCAGGAAGGGCACTTTGGGGGGAAAAGGAAAGTCTCATTTTGTTTCTCTTTTGGTGGTTAATGGAGAGATCTTGATAATAAATATCTGAGCTATACTTTCTGTATTGCACACATGATTTTGTATGGGGTCATGACTCACACTTAAAAACAAGATAATGGGTCAAAGAAACTAAATGGGGCTTATGACCACACAGCTCTGACAAGATCTTGATCCTAAATATGTACCTGTGGTTGATAATGGGAACCTCAGTCGCTGTTTGTCACTGAAATAATGCAGACAGAGCCAAAGTGATGAGATCTCTAAATGAAGAAGGGGGGGGGAAGCCCTTACTGTTTGGTCCCTTTTCAGCTTTTGTGGCTTTTCAGTTCTTTGGAGATCTGAGAGTTTTATAGGCACCCCCTCCCCCTGTACAAGCCAGCTTTGATTAGGATTCTGACTTATAGGGAGAAAACAGCTGGGAAGCACTAAGCCATGTCAGGACTGCTATTGTTTCTGCCTACTACAAACGGAAGATCATCAGAAGCAACAAGTTCAAATAACAGTCTCTGATATTCATTAAGGAGAACCCTCAGAGATATTTGCAAGAATTCTTTCAGGTTGTTGTAACCAAAATGCAAGGTGGGTTTTATTCCTTTGTGGCAACAGCATTTGCTGCCCATGTGCTAGTATGGAACCTTGAAGCTACTGAAACCGTTGTAAGCTATCACTGAGGGAATGGCCATTGCAATGAAACATTTTACAAGAATGATTAGAGTTCATGAGGCTCATTTCTTGGAAATAGGCACCAATGGTGCTGTTGGAGTCTGGAACCAGCTTGTCTTGGCTCATTCAAGAATATTCAGGGCATCCAGGCTGCCTCTGAAAAACTCAAACCTAATATACATATAACTTGAAATTGATATGGCAGATTGGCTCAACTAAAACATTTGCCAGTCATCACAGTCCTTCATAGATCTTATAAATGTGAATATTTTTGGAGACAGGATCTTGCTATGTGGTTTTAGTGTACCTGATATTTGCTTAGTAGTCTGGGTAGGCCTCAAATTTGTGACAGTCCTGCTGCTTTAGTTTTTTTGAGTATGGGGACTATAGGCTTGAAACCACCATGCCCAGCATCAAAGTAAGTTTTATGTATAGCTTCCATACAATGCACGTTTGTTAAGGGCCTACCTATGTATGCTTTGAAATGTTAGTGTGGTGTTTTGAATGAGAAACATCTCCATAGGCTCAGTTATTTGAATGCCTGGTCCCCAGTAGACAGCAGTGTTTGGGAAGACTATGAGGAGGTGAAGCCTAGCTGAAGGGATTGTGTTGCAGGGAGCAGGCTTTGGGAGCTTATAGCCACATCTCATTTCCCATTCACTCTCTTGTCTAGGTTGTAGTTAGGTATGTGATCTCTCAGCTCCTGCTGCCATGCCTCCCTGCCATGATGGAACCATAAAGCAAAATAAATCCTGTCTTCCTTAAGTTGCCCTTGGTCATCATGTTTTGTCATAACATTAGAGGAATGACTAATATGAACAGTATTATAAATTATGCCTCTATGAATATAGCATATATAAAGAAAGAATGTGACTGGCTGTTCCACTGTCCTGACACCATGATTGTATCCTTTCAAACCATGATCCAAAATAACTCTTTGAGACCTTTATGCATACATGCATGTACACACACTGTTGACTACATGTTCAATTTCTTAGCACAACATCCTCTAATCCTTACTTATAACAATGACCTCGTAAGTGGCTATTATTTTCTTTTTTTGAAAAAGCAGGCCAAGGACTAGGGAGGTTAAAATATCCAGGAAAAGCAAAGTCCAGTTTTACCTCATGTTTCCCAAGTCATGATAGGTATTTGGGCATGCACATCTCTTATTAAATTCTGTGCTTGTTTTGAAAGAGTTAGGCTCTTTATGGAAATAATAGAAAACACAGCTAAATCTGCTCTACCATGAAATGAGGGAAGAACTTGTCCATAAAACAATCCTTTCCCTGGGCAGATCCAGAGAGTGAGTTCTGTGAAAGGCCACGCTCCTGGTGTGTTTCCTTTGTAATACTCACAAAGGGGAAGTGGAGAGAAAGGGGAGGCAGGAAGGTTCTGTGGGCACCCGGGTACAGTGAGCAGAGTCCATACCTTCTGATTGAGTTTCATGGTCTCTTCGGTGTGGTAGAGGAGGAGCTTCTCCCCGGAAGAACTCAGATTCACGTACACCTGTAGGCAAGGGTACTGAGAGAGCTTCCAGCAGTCTGGCCCACAGCTGAAGGAACAGTTAAATGTTTCTGTGATGGACACATTCAGCAGGGTGCATTGGGCTTCTTCTGTCCACACACTGCAGAGAAGGAGCAAGAGTGAGCACTGGGCAGGACTATTGGGCAGGAGGGGGTGGTTGGGAAGGCCTGTCTCTTGGCTACTGAACTGTGTGAGTCTCCCCCAAATCTATGATCCATATGTTTGTGTAAAGTTTACGACTTTGAACAGACCAGCTTTTGTCATATGCCGTGACACAGCACAAACTTGGGTGCCTGAGAGCTTTCTTGGTGACATTCACTGTGTAGAATATTCACTAATATTTTAAGTGATTATTTTCTCCTTATTGAATTCACTGGTAAGCATAGCACATGATTTATTTTTTAGTTTTCATTTCTTGAGACAGGGCCTTACCATGTGGGCAAGAATGGCCTCAGACTTGCCCTGTAGCCTGGACTAGCATCAAAATTATAATTCTGCTGCCTCAGCCTCCTGAGGGAGGGATGGCAGTTATGCCTAGCATAACCTTCACTTTCTGTGTTTCTGCATTGCACAGTTTCTTGCTCAGCCTTTTTCATTCCAAACTCCACCTCAGCCTGCTTTGTAGGTATAAAAGGCTTTATTAAGGGAGGGCCTGGAGAAAAGTGACAGAAAGGCAGAGTGGTGCAGGGTTGAACTTGACAAGATAAAGGGAGAGCAGTACCATGCAATGAACTCACTCTAACATGGGATATAAGATAACGACAGCCTTTTGAAGATGTCAAGAACTATGACTACTTATACCTTTTCTCCCTAACTGGCAATTTACAGAAATTATTTCCTTTTATTCTCTTAGCAATCTTATATATTGGTTATTAGTCCCTTTGAGTGAATCAAGGGCCACAGAATCAGGTGACGCAGTCAAGAGCACACAGTGACAGAAACCATAGTTTTCCTCTTCTCAAAGGCTGTGCTTCATTCTGTCATGGTGTGGCTCCTCAGGAAATCAACAGAAGATAAACCATTCAGTGCAGATAAAGGGCTCCATCAGGTTGCTTTGGGCCATTTCAGCCAGAGAGTTCCAGCTAACTGTTGGTTGAATTTCATTTTACAATAACTTTCATTTTGTGATCAAGTCAAGCATTTGCAATTAGGAAGTAACACAGCAGCAATCGATGCTTTGCCTCTGGATATGAGCTATATTGCAGTGAGCAGAAAACACGTGTTCACAAGGAATAACAACCCTGCCCTTTTGCTGGACACACGTGGATAGCTCCTACACTTTTTTATGTGCCAGATGACTAGACTCGGTCTCCTCTGGTGTAGCAGACTGAATTTTCTGGAACATGAATGGTTAGAATCTGCTTTTACAACCAGAGAGTGAGGGGTACACATCCTACATAGTTCCAGGCAGGTGTGAGAATCTGGAAGAGGTTTTGGGCTCAGCAAACACTTGGGGCCTGAGACACCAGTACTTTCACTGTGGAAGAGAGTACGGCTGAAGGCCATCAGAAAAAAAGTAGGCCAACCAGGACGTGAAAGAGGAGAGAATTGCTACCTTTCAATTCCACTTGGCTTCTAAAATGAAAGCACTAATTCAGCTAGCAAAACAAGTGGCACAAAATGGTTTGATTTTCTCTAGGGCTGAAACTTCCCACTTTCATATGAAAGTTTCAGGGTTCAGTGTCTGGATGGCAGCGAGGGAGGGACACTGTGGCGATTTATCAGCTGGCTTTTGCAGGAGGATGTGCTGTCCTATCATCACCTAGTGAGTTTTCCTTGCTCAGTAAACCCAAGGTAAACAACAAAGTGAGAAGGATTCACAATCTGTTGCTTTAAGAAATCACTGTTAAGTCTCTCAAGCTTCACAACACATTAGAATCACTTAGACAGTTTTGGAATGCCGAGTGCTGGATCTGACTTCAAACCACTTGGTTCTGACCTTTTTGGGCTTTGACAGGTGAAAGTTTCCCAAGGATGCCATGCGATGGAGAAGTAGGGTGGATAAAAGAAGCAATGACAGATTTAGAGAATAGCAAGAATCATGACTTTTGAATTTGTGGGGTGTGGCTTTGATATCATAACTGCCACATGTTTGTGCTGTGTCGCACTGAACTGTGTGACATCATGTGTGTGTGCGTGTGTGCATGTGTGTGCATGTGCACTTGTGTGCATTTGCATGCATGTGTGCACATTTATGTTTGTATACGTGTATGTATGTGTGTGCAGATACACTTGCAATTGTACATTTGCATGTTTGTGTGTGTGCGTGCAGGTGCATGTGTATGAGTATGTGTACATGTTCATGTGAGCATATGTCTGTGGGTGTTTGTTGAGGCCAGAGGATGATCTCAAATGTCATTTCTCAGATGTCATCCACATTGTTTTTCTTTTTCTTTTCTTTTTTTTCCTTCTTTTCTGTCTTTCTTTCAATTGCCTGACTCTGCCTCTCCAGTGCTGGCATTGCAAGTACCTGCCACCATGTCTGAGCTTTTTATATGGGTTCTAGGTTTGGAACTATGGTTCTCATGACTGTGCAGCAAGCTTGTTATGGAAAACCATCTCTCAAGTTCCCCTGCCATATCATCTGGCCTCAGTGTCTCTGCACTGATGAGTAGGTAAGTGTAGATTATCTTATGGAGTAGTTGTGAGAAGGATATGAGCAGTATATGAAAGTGGCCAGCTCATAGTGGACAGTTTACATGTAGTCTACACTTGTTACTATTATCAGATAACATCAGAAAACACTGTGTATGAGGGGCTTTTGAAACTTCTGAGGAAAGGTGAGAAAGATGATGTCAGAGCTGAATGAGCCAATGGGGGAACAGAAAGGCGAGGACAGCTGATGCCTGGGTGCCCGTGGCATTACCTCTGCATGTAAGAGCGCAGCAGTGTGATCCCCAGCAGGAAGTACATCATGATGGAGCACACCATCATGGCCAGTCCTAGAAGGATAGCCCGGTCCTCTCCAGCCTTCAGCGCTGTCACAGTTTTCCTCTTGTCCAGGAGGTCATGGTCCCTGATTTTCTGGTAAATATTTCTGAAGTTAAAAATAATACAGTCTTACATGAGACTCAACGTTATACTGCATGTCCTTCGAGGGGAGCTACCTTCCTGCCCCTGACTTCTTTAGGTGAAAGACCTATGGAAATGTTATAAACACACCTTAGTGAAGCTGAATCTCAGTGCAAACCATCCCAACACATCACACACACACACACACACACACACACACACACACACACACACACACACACACACTATATGCATTGAAAGAAGACAGCACAGACATACACAGGGGTGCCATCCCTGAGCAGAAATGATTCCTAGTTCTATATTTTGGGGATTCATGTCTAACTGTACAGTATTTTTTCTCTGTCCAAGTCTAAGAAAGGCAGCAATTCCTTCATCCCTCAAAAAATGCCTTGGGTTTGTTGACTTCATATTAGTGAAGTTGATCATTGCTGATACATAATTTCTGAATTTACGTGTACGTGTGTGTGTGTGTGTGTGTGTGTGTGTGTGTGTGTGTGTGTGTGTATCACTTTATTCTGTTTATTTTTATCACCATAGGCCTGGAATAACACTTTCTCATGATTTCCCACATCAAGCCTGGGGCCATTAGACTACCTGGTTGCCCCAGAAAAGCCTTCCATAGACTGGTAACCACATGCCCTCTCAGTTCTATGATTCATTTTTGAGATTTCTTTGGAAATTTTAGGATTTACATCAAAGCTCTTTAAACTCGACCTTGTGTGAACTTGAAGAACAAACTGGTGCCCATTAGCTGTGAAAGGCAGTGGGCGGACAGACTTCTGAAGCAGGAAGACAGGCTGAGGCTGAGTGGCTTCAAAAACCCACAGGAAAATAATAACCTGTTGTTACTTGGCTAATATCATTTATCAACATGTATTTAACTCTGATGGCTGCCGTTGAGATCTGCATTCTGCAGATGGAAGACAGCAAGGATGATCTGTGCCGTTCTAGACTATTAGGCTGCCACACAGTGTTGAATATGCCAGTTTGCTATAAAACTGAGTGGGTGTTATTAGTTGCCCCTGGAACCAGAAACACATAAAATGATCCAACTGAGTCATCTCAAAACATATTTGGAAAATAAATGTTCTTTGTAAGCTTTAGAATGGGTAAATAAAAGGCAAAATGGTGGTTTCCATACATAGCTTGTAGGTGTCTAGGAAATCAGAATATTACGTGGCAAAATGGAAGTCATGAGTGGGTGGGACAGTTATAAAATCCTTCAGTAAATGGCTATTGAGTTAATGAATAAACGAAGGAATGTTAATATGATGCAAGAATGAGTTCCCAATTAGGAGGTTGGTCCACAGATGTATTGTGAATGCTGTAACTTTGTGTGTTGGGGACATGGTCCCTGTTAGAGAAGAGCAAAGACAAGAAAATTAGTGTCAGTTGAGGGTGGAGTTCCTTGGTGAATCAATTCAGGGTTTTTGGCAATTCCCCCAGCTTGAGGGATGGGGACAGAAAGTCAGCATAAGTTAGGAAAGGCTTTCTGGAAGAGTAATGTTTTGAACAGAACTTTCAAGGTTGATTGCAGTTAGGCAAATGGGACATAGACTTGGCAATATTTGGATGGAGGGATCATAGAAGCAAAGGTGTAGAGGCTTGGAGTTGCACAGCAAGTACCAGAAAGGACTATGCTAATAGCCCTGGGATGTCACACACCACAGCAACAGGGCAGTCAGATGAGAAATGTGGGGTCATGAAGGTTTTCAAAGTCATTCTAGAGAGTAGCCTCCCTCCTGTAATTAAAGGAAGCTGTCAACTGGTGATGTGGCCAGGGTGGAGTTTCAGAGTGATTGCTGTGCCTGCAGTGTGGAGATTAGAAACAGGCAAAGTCTTAAATCAGGGATGGAAGGAGGAGGAGGAATTGGGAGATGGTCCAGTAGTGTTGGTAGAGGATCATAAGGGCTGCATCCTGGCTGAAGATATGATAAAGAGAGAGGAGGCAATATGTGGAGACACATCCAGGAGGTGAAGCCTCCGGAGGCGGTGGCTGTTAGAATGTAGGGATGATGAGGAGGCAATGAGAGGAGGAGGCGGCTGGGCAGTGTGCTGTAGTGTTGCTGTGTATGGTGGGGAAGTGTGATGAGTGGGAAGGTCCAACTCTTTTTTGTCCACATCATTTTGGAGAGTGGAATCTACAGGGCAATAGAAGCCTTTGGAGGGGATAGATAGTTCAGGAGTTGAGACTGCCGGCACCTAAGCCCAATAACCTGAGGTTTTTCCTGGGTCCTACATGGTAGGAGAGAAGTGACTCCTGCAGGTTACCTTCTGACCCCCACATGAAAGCATGTATGCAATAAACAAACAAACAAACATATATAAACATAAAGCATCTTTGGGCTGGAGAGATGCTCAGTGGCTAAGAGCAATGCTGCTATAACAAAGGACCCTGGTGCAGTTGCCAGCACCCACATCTATAACTCCAGTTCCAGAGAAGCTGATGCCCTCTTCAGACACTGGGCAAGCACAAGATGCACAGATATACATGTAGGCAAAATACCCATACATAATGAAGTAAAAATAGGTAAATCTAAAAAATAAGGCTTTGCAAACAGATTTTCGGTTTTCCAGTAAAGCTTTGTTTTGCCCCAAACAACAGTCAGTACACTTAAAAAAAAAATTCAGCCTCAGTGTCTACATGATATTTTGGAAATTTCACGTCAAGACTCAGCTTATAATTCTGGATATGCATAATGTAGATGACACAGTCTACCTGGATAGTAGCGAGACATCATCATACACCTGGTGATAATGCTGATTGGACAGTTCAGAAAGGAAGCAAGCCAGTCCCTGAAGGCCAGCTTACCTTAGGATTAATTACTGAAGGACAGGGGACCCAAAGCCAGCTCACACTGTGAAAAGAACCTATGTAGTTTACCAGCCTACATATTTCACAAAGACTGCTTTAAGCAGAATTGTTTTTAGTACAGTAAGTGGATATGGAGATACTTTTCTCCTCTGTGAGTTAATGGAACATTTCAATATCTTTCATCAGGAAGTTGGTTGTCATGAAGATGTTTTTCTCAGCAGTAAGATTGACTGATACTTTTTTTTCAAAAGGCTGGGCTCCTGAGTCCCTTTAAAAATATAATAAACATATTCATGTGTATGTGCATAAATATATCATTCTAAGAGATGTGAAAACAATTTCACATTTCCTGTGGGGCTTGTTTAGTTTACACTGATTTGTTTTCAAATCCTTTTTGGGGATTCAGGTAGTCTTAGTTAGGATCACTATTGCTATGATAAAGCATCATGATCAAGCTAGGGAGGAGAGGGTGTATTTGACTTAAACTTCCAAATCATAGTCCATCACTAGAGGAAATCAGGACAGAACTCAAACAGTGCAGGAAGCTGGAGGCAGGAGCTGATGCAGAGACCATGGAGGGTGCTGCTTACTGACTTGTTCCTCATGGCTTGCTCAGACTGCTCTTTTATAGAACCCAGGACCACAATCCCAGGGATGACACTACCCACCATGTGCTGCCACCCCCTATCAATTACTAATTAAGAAAATGTCCTACAGGTTTGCCTATGGCAGGATCTTCTGGAGGCATTTTCTCAGTTGAGGTTCCCTCCTTTCAGATAGCTCTAGTTTGTGTCAAGTTGACATGAAACCACCCAGCATTGCTGTTTTCCTGGCATTTTGGCTTTGCAGAAATTTTCATCCTAGTTTCACATCACAACTGTTATTACCACCACAGATTTCTCAGCCTTATCAGTTAACCAAAGTTTGCTTCTTTTCTGTATTCAAAAAGCACAGGGAGTTTTTTTCAAAGATTTTTGTTTTAAATAACGTGTGTGTGTGTGTGTGTGTGTGTGTGTTCGTGCACGCATGCACATGTATGTGTATGAGTATAGGTGCCAGAGGAAGTCAGAGGTAAAGAATTCCTGGGTTCCTGGGTGCTTGAGTTCTATGCATTGTGAACTACCTGATTGACACAGATGCTGGGAACTGAACTTGGGTTCTCTACAAGAGCAGTAAATGCCCTCGCTGAGCAATCTCTACAGTCCTGGAGGAGAACTTTTAATAGCTCTTTGGAGATTCAGCGATTTATTTAGTTGGCTCTTATTTTGTCCTCATGGAAACATTAAATAAATGGCTAGCTTATCTTTGTTCTTGTCCTGTTTCCACAACAGGAAGGCTCTGGGTGAGAACAGCAGGCCCTTCTGCAGGGGAGCCTTTTGTTGAGGAGGAGATATTGACAAAGTATTCAGCTTAGCCTGCTGGTCTACAGATATGGGCCCAGGGAGCAGAACAGGGGACAGAGAGCAGGGAACAGGGGGAAGAGGAGATCTCACACAGTGTCTGGAAAGACAGCAGATATGTATATACAGGGGCAATGACTACAGATTCTAAGATATAGGAGGCAAGAATAGAGTCCCTAATTAAGGGTGCCCATGGCCACACTGATCCTTACTGGTTAGTGTGGACTGTGATAGAACACTTTGGGGTTATAATAACTGTGTTAAAATTTTGATACACAATGAAACTTAATAAATTCACCAAAACAGTTGATTAGAAAATAAGTTCTTTGTCAAGTTGGCTCCTGGCAAATTGGTCATTGGTGTATACTGGACTCCCTGACTGGAACATTCAGAGGACTAGAGGAAGATATGCAGCCTAGGGCTGTGGCTTAGAACATGAAGGTGGTTTGGAAGTCTGCCACCAATGCAAATGGGGATGGCTCAGGCATCTGTGACAGATTGAGCCAAGCCTTGGAGAGTCAAATGACTGAGAAGAGTCTCTGGGGAAAAGAATAGAAGGGTTGAGTGCATCTGGGATCCAGGATGGGAAAGGAAGGCTCTTTGTTGGTGAGCTGTACACCAACAAAGAAGAAAAAGATTAGCTTGTGAAGTTTGAGAGGACATTAAAGAAAATGAAACAAGTGTGACAATTAGACTTGCACTTTAGAAACATCGTGGATGTTAATGATGCTGGTTGTTAAATAGCCTTGCACAAGTACTGCCATTATGTTGACTGTAGTGTTCTTCTTT